CACACACACACACACACACACACACACACACACACACACACTCAGGAGTCATCTGAGCTCAAGTGAGCAGTTGTTCTTCCTTTTTATTTTCACAGGAAAATTCATTTATCAACTGTTTAGAACCAAATCACAACATCACAGGGATGCAGAGGTTTTAAATTAAAAATATATGCTCAATTTGTATTTTCATCAAAATAAATGTTTGATTAAGACAAATAAATAAATATTAATATTATGATATAAATATTAGTATTGTAATTGTATACTAAAATAAATAATTATTATTATTATTATAGGCACACTTTTCCCTGTGAACTATTACAATAGTAATATTTGGTTTTTTAAATTTAGTAATCTTTGTAGTTATTTATTATTATTAGTATTATTATTTTATAGTGATATTATTGATATATAATTGCAGACTTTTGGGCAATTTGTGCAGCCCTTCAAACAAATAACCACAGCAGGCCTTTATTTTTAAAATCACATTTTAAATAATTTTTATCATAATTTTTCCACAAATGGTGGAGTCATAGTAATTTATTTCTTTATTGGTTTAATTTAGCTATTTTAATAAATTGAAATATTTTAGTAGTAATACTAATATTATTAATAATAATAATAATAATTATTATTATTATTATTTTAGAATAAAAAAAATATTATTATTATATTAATTGGTAAAATGTTATGAATTATTATTATTTTATTATTATTATTATTATTATTGCATTTAAAATCCTTTAAATTTAACAGTATTCAAAACAGAACAGGAATGAAAAATATAATAAGTATAAATTAGTAAAATAATATTAATTAGTATTATTGTTATTATTATTGTCATATTAAATGGGTTCCATAAAAACCAGTGTGAATGTGGCCTGAGAAAACTTCTCTCTCAAGGACAACTTTGGTTTTTAAAACTCTGTTAATAATAATAATAATAATAATAATATAAAACTAGAGTCTAGGGTGAGCTTCTCCCTCTATCCTCAAGCTGAAATCGACTGTTAAAGCACATTTTAAAGCTCCTCGAGGGATTGCAGCAGCTTTTCCTTATTTTATTATTATTATTGCATTTAAAATCCTTTAAATTTAACAGTATTCAGAACAGGAATGAAAAATATAATAAGTATAAATTAGTAAAATAATATTAATTAGTATTATTGTTATTATTATTGTCATATTAAATGGGTTCCATAAAAACCAGTGTGAATGTGGCCTGAGAAAACTTCTCTCTCAAGGACAACTTTGGTTTTTAAAACTCTGTTAATAATAATAATAATAATAATAATATAAAACTAGAGTCTAGGGTGAGCTTCTCCCTCTATCCTCAAGCTGAAATCGACTGTTAAAGCACATTTTAAAGCTCCTCGAGGGATTGCAGCAGCTTTTCCAGCCCTGATGAATGTGTTTGAATCCTGATCGTGATCACTGAGCTATTAGAGGCACGAGAGCTTCTGTTCCCTTGAATCACTGCGTGTGACGTCACCCAATCAGCCTGTGTTTTTATTGCATCACAGAACATGTTTCAGTGCTACAGCATCACGTGTTAACTTTCTGTTATGATGGTGTTGTGTTGGACTCAGGCCGGTTTTGCAAACTGTGTGTGTGTTTTCTGTGTCTAACAGCAGACGGTTTCTCATCATGTTCATCCAGGCCCTGTTTTAGTGTTTCCTCCGCTCGCAGGTTGCCAGTTATCTGACTGTGTGTGTGTGTGTGTGTGTGTGTGTGTGTGTGTG